CATCAATGGACCACTGTGGTCCTGGATGACATCAATGGACCATTGTGGTCCTGGATGACATCAATGGACCACTGTGGTCCTGGATGACATCAATGGACCAATTTAAGCTCTTTTGAAGGCCATGTTTTCTGCATTATAATTCTAATTTTGACTGAAAATAGCATTGGTGGACCAGTGGACCAGTGGACCGGTGGACCAGTGTCTCCAACCCTCCCTCCAGAGCAGCATTATCGCCTCTACTACAGATATAAGGGTGTAAATTGATCAGTTAACGGGAGACCACAACGGTCCTCACTGTTGATACTGTTAACAGAACAACAGTTGACAGGGACAAGCTTTCACTCACAAACATCAGGTTCGACCCCCCTCACCTCTGTTAGGAGGTGCAAAAAACAGAACCCTTACAAAACGGTTCTAATTTCCTGTTAGTGTCAGCAACAGATGTACACATTACTGTTGTGTGTACATATTACTGCTGTGTGTACACATTACTGTTGTGTACACATTACTGTTGTGTGTACACATTAGTGTTGTGTGTACAAATTACTGTTGTGTGTACACATTACTATTGTGTGTACACATTACTGTTGTGTGTACACATTACTATTGTGTGTACACATTACTATTGTGTGTACACATTACAACTGTGTGTACACATTACTGTTGTGTGTACATATTACTGCTGTGTGTACACATTACTATTGTGTGCACACATTACTGTTGTGTGTACACATTACTGTTGTGTGTACACATTACTGTTGTGTGTACACATTACTGTTGTGTGTACACATTACTGTTGTGTGTACACATTACTATTGTGTGTACACATTACAACTGTGTACACATTACTATTGTGTGTACACATTACTGTTGTGTGTACACATTATTGTGTGTACACATTACAACTGTGTGTACACATTACTGTTGTGTGTACACATTACAACTGTGTGTACACATTACTATTGTGTGTACACATTACAACTGTGTGTACACATTACTATTGTGTGTACACATTACTGTTGTGTGTACACATTACTATTGTGTGTACACATTACAACTGTGTGTACACATTACTATTGTGTGTACACATTACAACTGTGTGTACACATTGTGTGTACACATTACTATTGTGTGTACACATTACAACTGTGTGTACACATTACTATTGTGTGTACACATTACTGTTGTGTGTACACATTACTGTTGTGTGTACACATTACAACTGTGTGTACACATTGTGTGTACACATTACTATTGTGTGTACACATTACAACTGTGTGTACACATTACTATTGTGTGTACACATTACTGTTGTGTGTACACATTACTATTGTGTGTACACATTACTGTTGTGTGTACACATTACTATTGTGTGTACACATTACAAATGTGTGTACACATTACTATTGTGTGTACACATTACTGTTGTGTGTACACATTACTATTGTGTGTACACATTACTGTTGTGTGTACACATTACTATTGTGTGTACACTTTACTGTTGTGTGTACACATTACTGTTGTGTGTACACATTACTGTTGTGTGTACACATTACTGTTGTGTGTACACATTACTATTGTGTGTACACATTACTGTTGTGTGTACACATTACTGTTGTGTGTACACATTACTGTTGTGTGTACACATTACTGTTGTGTGTACACATTACTGTTGTGTGTACACATTACTGTTGTGTGTACACATTACTGTTGTGTGTACACATTACGGTTGTGTGTACACATTACGGTTGTGTGTACACATTACGGTTGTGTGTACACATTACTGTTGTGTGTACACATTACAGTTGTGTGTACACATTACGATTGTGCGTACACATTACGGTTGTGTGTACACATTACGATTGTGTGTACACATTAAAGTTGCATGTACATACATTAAAGGCGTGTATACACATTAAAGTTCTGAGTATACATACATAGGAGGGGTGTGTGCATATAAACGTTGTGTACACATATATTAAAGTTGTGTGTACACATATATTAAAGTTGTGTGTACACATATATTAAAGTTGTGTGTACACATTAAAGTTGTGTGTACACACAGACTGAAGGTGTGGGTGTACACATTAAAGTTGTGTGTACACGTAGAATGTCGTACAGATGGAGTACCTTGAAGTGTACTCCCTGGAACACTAGCGATAACGATACATCATAAATTACACCTGGAAAATACTGGAGGAGCAGCGAATATACTGTGAGGAAAGTGAAAAAGTGTAAAGGTACCAAGACTCTTCAACACTTGATGGTACACAACAAGTGATAATAGTACACTAGTGATGCACTGGTAGTGGTACACCACCACTGGTAGTGATACACCACCGGTGGTAATGGTACACTAGTAGTGCTGCACTGGTAGTGGTATACTGGTAGTGGCACACTGGTAGTGGTACACCACCAATGGTAATGGTACACTAGTAGTGCTGCACTGGTAGTGGTACACCACCACTGGTAGTGGTATACTGGCAGTGGTACACTGGTAGTGGTACACCACCAGTGGTAATGGTACACTAGTAGTGCTGCACTGGTAGTGGTACACCACCACTGGTAGTGGTATACTGGCAGTGGTACACTGGTAATGGTACACTAGTAGTGCTGCACTGATAGTGGTACACTGGTAGTGGTACACCAACAGTGGTAATGGTACACTAGTAGTGCTTCACTGGTAGTGGTACACCACCACTGGTAGTGGTACACCACCAGTGGTAATATGCTAGTAGTGCTGCACTGGTAGTGGTACACTGGTAGTGGTACACCACTGGTAGTGGTACACTGGTAGCGATACACCACCACTGGTAGTGGCACACTGGTAGTAGCATACTGGTAGTGGTACACTGGTAGTGGTATACTGGTAGTGGTACACTGGTAGTGGTACACTGGCAGTGGTACACCACTGGTAGTGGTACACCACCACTGGTAGTGGTACACTGGTAGTGGTACACTGGTTATGGTACACTGGTTATGGTACACTAGTTATGGTACACTGGTAGTGGTACACTGGTTATGGTACACTGGTTATGGTACACTGTTAGTGGTACACTGGTAGTGGTACACTGGTAGTGGTATATCACTGGCAGTGGTACACTGGTAGTGGTACACTGGTAGTGGTACACTGGTTATGGTACACTGGTTATGGTACACTGGTAGTGGTACACTGGTTATGGTACACTGGTTATGGTACACTGTTAGTGGTACACTGGTAGTGGTACACTGGTAGTGGTATATCACTGGCAGTGGTACACTGGTAGTGGTACACTGGTAGTGGTACACTGGTTATTGTACACTGGTTATGGTACACTGGTAGTGGTACACTGGTTATGGTACACTGGTTATGGTACACTGTTAGTGGTACACTGGTAGTGGTACACTGGTAGTGGTATATCACTGGCAGTGGTACACTGGTAGTGGTACACTGGTAGTGGTACACTGGTTATGGTACACTGGTTATGGTACACTGGTAGTGGTATATCACTGGTAGTGGTACATCACTGGCAGTGGTACACTGGTAGTGGTATACTGGTAGTGGTACACTGGTTATGGTACACTGGTTATGGTACACTGGTAGTGGTACACTGGTAGTGGTGCACTGGTAGTGGTATATCACTGGTAGTGGTACATTACTGGCAGTGGTACATCACTGGCAGTGGTACATCACTGGCAGTGGTACATCACTGGCAGTGGTACATCACTGGCAGTGGTACACTGGTAGTGGTACACTTGTTGAGGTACACCGGTAGTGGTACACCAGCATTGGTAGTGATATACTGGTAGTGGTACAATGGTTGAGGTACACCATCACTGGTAGTGGTACACCACCATTGGTAGTGGTATACTGGTAGTGGTATCACTGGTAGTGGTACATTGGTTGAGATACACCATCACTGGTAGTGGTACACCATGACTGGTAGTGGTATACCATCACTGGCAGCGGTACACACACCACTGCACCACTGGCAGCGGTACACACATCACTGGAAGTGGTACACCATCACTGGTAGAGGTACACTGGTAATGGTACACAACTACTGGTAGTGGTATACTGGTACATCGCTGGTAGTGGTACACTTGTAGTGGTACACCGGTGGTGGTACACCGGTGGTGGTACGCCTAAGACAACTCAACGGTACACAGAGGGTTGGTTGTGCAGCCTAGCGGCAGTGGTACACTGACTGAGCCGCACGACCACTGGTGGTACACTGGGCCGCACCACCACTGGTGGTACACTGGGCCGCACCACCACTGGTGGTACACTGGGCCGCACCACCACTGGTGGTACACTGGGCCGCACCACCACTGGTGGTACACTGGGCCGCACCACTGGTGGTACACTGGGCCGCACCACTGGTGGTACACCGGGCCGCACCACTGGTGGTACACTGGGCCGCACCACTAGTGGTACACTGGGCCGCACCACTGGTGGTACACTGGGCCGCACCACTAGTGGTACACTGGGCCGCACCACCACTGGTGGTACACTGGGCCGCACCACTAGTGGTACACTGGGCCGCACCACTAGTGGTACACCGGGCCTCACCACTGGTGGTACACTGGGCCGCACCACCACTGGTGGTACACTGGGCCGCACCACTAGTGGTACACCGGGCCGCACCACTAGTGGTACACTGGGCCTCACCACTGGTGGTACACTGGGCCGCACCACCACTGGTGGTACACTGGGCCGCACCACTAGTGGTACACCGGGCCGCACCACTAGTGGTACACTGGGCCTCACCACTGGTGGTACACTGGGCCGCACCACTAGTGGTACACCGGGCCGCACCACTAGTGGTACACCGGGCCTCACCACTGGTGGTACACTGGGCCGCACCACCACTGGTGGTACACTGGGCCGCACCACTAGTGGTACACTGGGCCGCACCACTAGTGGTACACTGGGCCGCACCACTAGTGGTACACTGGGCCGCACCACTAGTGGTACACCGGGCCGCACCACCACTGGGCCTCAGTATTGAACAGGACGCTGGTGGAGGGAGACGCGCGACTCCATACCTCCCTCCATCTATCTCCTCTCCTCCACTCCATCTATCCAGTGGTACAGTGTACCCTCCTGTGCCGCTCTGGAGGTGCGCCACACTCACATATTTTATACTACTAACAACAGGTGTTTACTAACATCATTTACAAGGTGATTTAAAATTTCTTTGTTTCAAGACGGGTTCCTGCCGTATATCTTAGCAAAATACATCGTCTCGGCCGCCTACTGTATGATTTATACAGTGATCTTGTTGTATTTTGCGCCTGTGGACTTCAAAATGCATCTAAATCAATAGAATAGTGACGATTTTGAATTAGAAATGACGTTTTCTGGTGTAAATCTTGGAAAATACATCGTCTGGGCCTCCTACTGTATGATTTATGCAATAGTCTTCTTGTATTTTGCGCCTGTGGACTTCAAAATACATCTAAATCATTAGAAAAGTGACGATTTTGAATTAGAAATGACATTTTCTGGTGTAAAATCTAAGAAATGAGTCTTTTCCTGATGTAAATGTTGGAAAATACATCGTCTGGGCCTCCTACTGTATGATTTATACAATAATTTTGCACCTGTGGACTCCAAAATACATTTAAATCATTAGAAAAGTGACGATTTTGAATTAGAAACGACGTTTCCGTGTCAAAATATTTAGATATTAATCCTCTTCTGGTACAGATCACAGAAAATACATCACCTGGGCCCCTACTGTATGATTTATACAATAAACTTCTTGTATTCTGCACCCATCGACTTCAAAATACATCTAAAACGGCAAACAAATGTGTTTTTGAATTAGAAACAAGACGATTTTGATCTCTAAATTCCATCTGGACGAATTTTTATTAAATGAAAAATAGATAGACAGAGAAGTTAATGAGGAAAATACAAGTGTATTTCTGGTGTATTTTGTTGTATTAAGATAAAATACATCAGATAGAGAGGTGATAAAACCTGCTCTTACTGTATTACGCAGCTTCAAGGTAAGTATCATTAATAACAACTGGAATAATAACTAAGAATAATCATAATTGAGATTTATCAAGTCATGTTTCACACAGTGTAGAGCTTTGTGTTTCACACAGTGTAGAGCTTTGTGTTTCACACAGTGTAGAGCTTTGTGTTTCACCACAGTGTAGAGCTTTGTGTTTCACACAGTGTAGAGCTTTGTGTTTCACCAGTGTAGAGCTTTGTGTTTCACACAGTGTAGAGCTTTGTGTTTCACACAGTGTAGAGCTTTGTGTTTCACACAGTGTAGAGCTTTGTGTTTCACACAGTGTAGAGCTTTGTGTTTCACACAGTGTAGAGCTTTGTGTTTCACACAGTGTAGAGCTTTGTGTGTCACACAGTGTAGAGCTTTGTGTTTCACACAGTGTAGAGCTTTGTGTTTCACACAGTGTAGAGCTTTTGTGTTTCACACAGTTGTAGAGCTTTGTGTTTCACACAGTGTAGAGCTTTGTGTGTCACACAGTGTAGAGCTTTGTGTTTCACACAGTGTAGAGCTTTGTGTTTCACACAGTGTAGAGCTTTGTGTTTCACACAGTGTAGAGCTTTGTGTGTCACACAGTGTAGAGCTTTGTGTTTCACACAGTGTAGAGCTTTGTGTTTCACACAGTGTAGAGCTTTGTGTTTTACACAGTGTAGAGCTTTATGTTTCACTCAGTGTAGAGCTTTATGTTTCACTCAGTGTAGATCTTTGTGTTTCACTCAGTGTAGAGCTTTGTGTTTCACACAGTGTAGAGCTTTGTGTTTCACAGTGTAGAGCTTTGTGTTTCACTCAGTGTAGAGCTTTGTGTTTCACTCAGTGTAGAGCTTTGCGTTTCACTCAGTGTAGAGCTTTGCGTTTCACTCAGTGTAGAGCTTTGTGTTTCACTCAGTGTAGAGCTTTGTGTTTCACTCAGTGTAGAGCTTTGCGTTTCACTCAATGTAGAGCTTTGTTTCACTCAGTGTAGAGCTTTGTTTCACTCAGTGTAGAGCTTTGTGTTTCAGTGTAGAGCTTTGTGTTTCAGTGTAGAGCTTTGTGCTTCAGTGTAGAGCTTTGTGTTTCAGTGTAGAGCTTTGTGTTTCAGTGTAGAGCTTTGTGTTTCAGTGTAGATCTTTGTGCTTGACTCAGTGTAGAGCTTTGTGCTTGACTCAGTGTAGAGCTTTGTGTTTGACTCAGTGTAGAGCTTTGTGTTTGACTCAGTGTAGAGCTTTGTGTTTGACTCAGTGTAGAGCTTTGTGTTTGACTCAGTGTAGAGCTTTGTGTTTGACTCAGTGTAGAGCTTTGCGTTTCACTCAGTGTAGAGCTTTGCGTTTCACTCAGTGTAGAGCTTTGCGTTTCACTCAGTGTAGAGCTTTGCGTTTCACTCAGTGTAGAGTTTTGTGTTTCAGTGTAGAGCTTTGTTTCACTCAGTGTAGAGCTTTGTGTTTCACTCAGTGTAGAATTTTGTGTTTCAGTGTAGAGCTTTGTTTCACTCAGTGTAGAGCTGTGTGTTTCAGTGTAGAGCTTTGTTTCAGTGTAGAGCTTTCTGTTTGACTCAGTGTAGAGCTTTGTGTTTCAGTGTAGAGCTTTGTTTCAGTGTAGAGCTTTCTGTTTGACTCAGTGTAGAGCTTTGTGTTTCAGTTTAAAGCTTTGTGTTTCACTCAGTGTAGAGCTTTATGTTTCACTCAGTATAGAGCTGTATGTTTCACTCAGTATAGAGCTGTATGTTTCACTTAGTGTAGATCTGCATGTTTCACTCAGTATAGAGCTGTATGTTTCACTCAGTGTAGAGCTGTATGTTTCACTCAGTGTAGAGCTGTATGTTTCACTCAGTGTAGAGCTGTATGTTTCACTCAGTGTAGAGCTGTATGTTTCACTCAGTATAGAGCTGTATGTTTCACTCAGTATAGAGCTGTATGTTTCACTCAGTATAGAGCTGTATGTTTCACTCGGTGTAGAGCTTTATGTTTCACTCAGTGTAGAGCTGTATGTTTCACTCAGTATAGAGCTGTATGTTTCACTCAGTATAGAGCTGTATGTTTCACTCAGTATAGAGCTGTATGTTTCACTCAGTATAGAGCTTTATGTTTCACTCAGTGTAGAGTTGTATGTTTCACTTAGTATAGAGCTGTATGTTTCACTCAGTGTAGAGCTTTCAGTGCAGAGCTTTGTTTCAGTGTAGAGTTGTTTGACTCAGTGTAGAACTTTGTGTTTGACTCAGTGTAGAGCTTTACAACCAGTGTATATACACTGAGATATACACCTCTGAGTGTACACACAGACACTTCTCTGTGTGCACAATGTTCTGCATACAAGCGGATTCTGACATGTACACCACATGTTGTAATACCTTGTTCAACTGTGTATTATGTCTTAATAAATTATTATTATTATTATTATTATTATTAATTATTATTATTATTATTATTAATGTATATAGTACACAGAACATACACCTCTCAGTGTATATAGACTAACAAAGCTGGTCTTGGACCATATAGAGTCTCGCTTCAGCTTCTGGTCTGCTGACCAAGACCAACTGGTCCAAACACTCACACAGCCTCACTTCAGCTTCTGGTCTGCTGACCAAGACCAACTGGTCCAAACACTCATACAGTCTCACTTCAGCTTCTGGTCTGCTGACCAGGACCAACTGGTCCAAACACTCACACAGTCTCACTTCAGCTTCTGGTCTGCTGACCAAGACCAACTGGTCCAAACACTCACACAGTCTCCACTTCAGCTTCTGGTCTGCTGACCAAGACCAACTGGTCCAAACACTCACACAGTCTCACTTCAGCTTCTGGTCTGCTGACCAAGACCAACTGGTCCAAACACTCACACAGCCTCACTTCAGCTTCTGGTCTGCTGACCAAGACCAACTGGTCCAAACACTCACACAGTCTCACTACAGCTTCTGGTCTGCTGACCAAGACCAACTGGTCCAAACACTCACACAGCCTCACTACAGCTTCTGGTCTGCTGACCAAGACCAACTGGTCCAAACACTCACACAGCCTCACTTCAGCTTCTGGTCTGCTGACCAAGACCAACTGGTCCAAACACTCACACAGTCTCACTTCAGCTTCTGGTCTGCTGACCAAGACCAACTGGTCCAAACACTCACACAGCCTCACTTCAGCTTTCTGGTCTGCTGACCAAGACCAACTGGTCCAAACACTCACACAGTCTCACTACAGCTTCTGGTCTGCTGACCAAGACCAACTGGTCCAAACACTCACACAGTCTCACTTCAGCTTCTGGTCTGCTGACCAAGACCAACTGGTCCAAACACTCACCAGCTCACTTCAGCTTCTGGTCTGCTGACCAAGACCAACTGGTCCAAACACTCACACAGCCTCACTTCAGCTTCTGGTCTGCTGACCAAGACCAACTGGTCCAAACACTCACACAGCCTCACTTCAGCTTCTGGTCTGCTGACCAAGACCAACTGGTCCAAACACTCACACAGTCTCACTACAGCTTCTGGTCTGCTGACCAAGACCAACTGGTCCAAAAACACTCACACAGTCTCACTTCAGCTTCTGGTCTGCTGACCAAGACCAACTGGTCCAAACACTCACACAGCCTCACTTCAGCTTCTGGTCTGCTGACCAGGACCAACTGGTCCAAACACTCACACAGCCTCACTTCAGCTTCTGGTCTGCTGACCAAGACCAACTGGTCCAAACACTCACACAGCCTCACTACAGCTTCTGGTCTGCTGACCAAGACCAACTGGTCCAAACACTCACACAGCCTCACTTCAGCTTCTGGTCTGCTGACCAGGACCAACTGGTCCAAACACTCACACAGCCTCACTACAGCTTCTGGTCTGCTGACCAAGACCAACTCACAATTATTTATTGGCTCCACAAACAAAAATGTTAACCCTGAAAAAAATCGTAATAACGAATTCTACTCGTCTTTTATACAATAAATAATTTTTTACTCAATTCTTCTCAAAATCAAATGTTCTTTGACATCCTATTTCAAAAACATCTAATATTGACAGTCTTCAAAAATTATTATAATGGGTTTTTATAATATTTTTAATGGATAACTTTTAAAAAAATCCCGTTGTTCCCCAAGACTATTGTTGTTTTTAATAAAAATGTTGAACAATGGGACACTGAAACAATGCTTATTGTCATAGCCCCATTATATATGGATTTATTATATTTTATATATATATATATATATATATTAAATATATATATATATATATATATATATATATATATATATATATATATATATATATAGTTTTAACACATCGGCGGTCTCCCACCAAGGCAGAAAGGTACAAAGAAAGAAAAAACTTTCACCATCATTCACTCCACCACTGTCTTGCCAGAGGTGCTTTACACTACAGTTATAAAACTGCAACATTAAACCCGTCCTTCAGAGTGTAGACACTGTACTTACCATCTCCAGGACTCAAGTCCAGCCTGCCAGTTTCCCTGAATCCCTTCATAAATGTTACCTTGCATACACTCCAACAGCACGTCAAGTCGTAAAGACCATTTGTCTCCATTTGCTCCTCACTAACACGCTGACGCACGCTTGCTGGAAGTCCAAGCCCCTCGCACACAAAACCTCCATTACCCCCTCCCTCCAACCTTTCCTAGGCCGACCCCTACCCCGCCATCCCTCCACTACAGATTTATACACTCTCGAAGTCATTCTATTTTGTTCCATCCTCTCTACATGTCCGAACCATCTCAACAACCCCCTCCTCAGCTCTCTGGATAATAGTTTTGGTAATTCTGCACCTCCTCCTAATCTCCAAACTACGAAGTCTCTGAATTATATCCACAGACTTCTCAGTGCACCACTTACCTTTTTCCCCTCATCAATTCTATAATTCACCTCATCTTTCATAGACTCATCCGCTGACACGTCCACTACCAGATATCTGAATACATTCACCTCCTCCATACTTTCTCCCTCCAATCTAATATCCAATCTTTCGTTACTTAATTTTATCCTTATCACCTTACTCTTTCCTGTATTCAC